TTTACTGGCAACAGCACATTTACTGCCACGAGAAATATTTTTAAACAAACTTTCTTGGCTGCCTAAAAATTTTGCACAGTACACTGTATTGTGTCACACTGTGAATGACAGTTCAACATAAACAGACTCTGAAGTTTTTGCCTTAACCTCATTCTTAATCATTAAAAAACACTGCAAAACTGATTATAGATCAGCACAGCAGGGAAGCTATTAGCAGCACGCAAAACCACAATTCATAACCGGATGAGTTGGCGTAGTTGCGAGATCTTGGTCATGTGACTGACAGGAAAGAACGTGGGTTTTAATGGCAACAGACGTTTCCTTTTGTTGCTGATTTGAGATCATCTAAGCTAGCGTTCTTTTAATAGGGACTGTGAAGGGGAAGCTGGTAAAAACGGAATTTGATGACACACTTTAAAATCTAGAAACTAGTTTCAATATTACCTTTTTATTTGGGATTCCAGAGATGTGTTACGTTGTTTACGGTGTTGTAGTTCCAGTGGAATGTTTACAGGTTACAGATAAACTTGGTGGGAGGTGGAGGGGGTGAATGGAAAGTGCAGTAAACCAGAAACATGATAATATGATATGTAACTCCTGCATGGCCTGGTTGAGTGGTTTCAAGAAGAGGCCCTAGATTGAAGTTTTCTTTTCTTCTAGCATGTAGAACACTGATCAGCCATAATATTAAAACCATTAAAAACAAATCCTTGTTTCTACACTCAGTGTCCATTTTATCAGCTCCACTTACTATATAGGTGCACTTTGTAGTTCTACAATTACAGACTGTAGTCCATCTGTTTCTCTACATACTTTGTTAGCCCCTTTTTACCCTGTTCTTCCATGGTCAGGACCCCCCAAAGGACCACCACAGAGCAGGTACTATTTGGGTGGTGGGTCATTCTCAGCACTGCAGTAACACTGACGTGGTGGTGGTGTGTTAGTCTGTGTTGCGCTTGTACAAGTAGATCAGACACAGCAGTGCTGCTGGATTTTTTAAACACTGTCCACTCACTGTCCATTCTGTTAGACACTCCTAACGTGTTGGTTCCCCTTGTAGATGTAAAGTCAGAGACAGTAGCTCATCTGTTGCTACAGGACGCTGTTGGCTGGATGTTTTTGGTTGGTGGACTATTCTCAGTTCAGCAGTGACAGTGAGGTATTTGAGAGCTCCAGCAGCACTGCTTTGTCTGATCCACTCAGACCAGCACAACACAAACTAACAACGCACCACCACGTCAGTGTCAGTGATGAGTCAATGATGGTCTGCCACACAAATGATACCTGCTCTGTGGTGGTCCTGTGAAGGTTCTGACCATTGAGGAACAGGATAAAAGGAAGCTAACAAGGTATGCAATACAATGAATGGACTACAGTCTGGAGCAGTCAAAATGGACAATGAGTGTAGAAAGAGGGATGTGGTTTTAATGTAATGGCTGATTGTGTACACTCAGATGGACCTTACAGCTGATGTGACCTCATTTTGAAATCTGGTGTAGGCAAAACAGCATAACAAGTTCTGATGGACAGCAGAGGCTTCGCCCAGAAAATGTGAGCGGTAGATATTCAGTTGTTTGCTTGTACAAATTATTACGGGTGGATTTATTTGGCAGAAGTGGCATGAAAAATGTGAAAAAGATCCTGAATAAGCCCTGTGCGATTCAGATGTTCCAAGGAGTAACAAAATACACATGTCACTGTGTTCTACCAAAGCAATATAACGCTCCTGATCGCCAAAAATGATGATATCAGGGATGTGGCAGTGCGTTCTTGTGTTGCCTTCTCTCTCTGTTTTTCTTTGTTCTTTAACACTAATGTTGTCTCGAGGCACACATATAAAGTTTATAAGGGTGGGGGCAAAACTTGAATCATATTCGCCCTTTCCTCTTGTGTCAAAATAAAGAAAAATGATTGGGAGAAATAAGAGATGGAATGGTCAAAGAATGTGGAGTGGATCCGAGACAGAAGAAAGTGTTTTTGTCTTCAGAAAAGATATATTGCGAGGACAGCTTGAAGGATTTTATGTAATAAAGACGCTGAGATGCAGAGATTACTGATCTAAACGGCTGTGGAAGGGGGAGTGGAGGGATGTTTGACGTGTGAACGTTCCCTAAAGGATCTGTGAAACGTCACAATAACTGGCTTTGAATGCAGACTGTCTGATCTAATCCACGGACATAATGAAGTTTAGAAGTTTAGAAGACAGTTTGAGATAAAAAAAAGTTCCCTCTTTGAAAATGCGAGTGGAACAGATATAGAGAGTCAGGGCCTACTGCAGTTCAGAGGCTTAGAATCAAGAAATAAAAGGAGAAAGACAGATGTTGGGAGTGATGATTAAAAAAGCTGATTAGTAGAAAGAGTTTGTAGAAGGAGAAAGTGAAAAAGACGAGTAATAAAACTGTTTCATACCTTCACCGAGTCCGAAAAGTTGAGTTTGGTGCTGCAGTAAGGCTGAGCGGAAGTGAAAATGATGGGGCTACAGTGGGTTTATGAGCCAGAATTTACTTCCTCTGTGTGTGTGTGTGTGTGTGTGTATTTCAGTGCATGCTCTGTTCATATGTAAACAGAGAGTGTGAGACAGCTGGAGAGAAGATTAATCTAGAATGCAAAAATAGAAGGTTGTGTATCTTTTGCCTGAAAACAAACAAACAAAACCTAATTTCTCACAAACACTTTCTGAGTGCTCTACCCTGTGTGAGTGTTCTAGTCCAAAAGAGAATAAGTACAGAGAATAACTGAGCTCAGGCTTCAGGGCAAGAAAGAATGAAGAGAGGAAATACGAGAGAGAGAGAGAGAGAGAGAGAGAGAGAGAGAGAGATAGAGAGAGAAAGAAAGAGAGAGAGAGAGAGAGAGAGAGAGAGAGAGAGAGAGAGAGACAGAAAGAAAGAAAGAGAGAGAGAGAGAGAGAGAGAGAGAGAGAGAGAGAGAGAAAGGAATGATTATTGGTTAGGCAGGAAAGACACAGGTCAGATATTTGGGATAATAAAGTTACATATACTGACTCAGAATTGGAGTTACAGCACTCCAGTACCTTATAGAGGGATCTTGAGGATAAAGGAGTGAGAACTGAAAGAGAGATCAGGAGAGGAATCTGGACATCAAAACAAGTAGTAAATGAATATTAACTTACAGGAGCATTTCAATGCTTTTTCAAAAATTCTGCATAATTCAATCATTGATGCATGAATGGTCAGAGTGGTTTGATGTGTAAAGAAACTTACCGACTCTGGTTTCTTTGGTGATAGGAACCAGAGATCATGATGCCTACAACGTAATAATGGCCATTTTATTTATGGTCCAAAATGACCGGTGAATCTACATGTGTCTTCTGAGATTTTATATGTAATGTTGATGATGGTAAATTAGTGGTAAACCTGAAATAAGTAAGTTTTCCTGTGACAATATGAAGGAGTCTAAGACAGCCTAAATGTGACCAGTTTTAGCTTCATCTTTACACAGCATTCCGAAACCCCCCCTTAAAATTTCCAGTCAATACAATCTTCCAAGCAGTTCCTTAATATCATCACATTACACATTTACAATTGATTAGAAAACAGAAGATAAGTTTCTCTAACAGCTTTCTATTGAGGCCAAGTAAGTAGTGACAATGACTCACTTATTAAAAATTCTGTCCAGAAAGTCTGATTCTCTTGAGGTAAAGCAAGTTCAGAATATGATGTGATATTTATGATTTTTGGTAAGTGGCAACCTGGGGAATGCTGGCCTTCCATATTAAAGGGCATTAAAAGGCTATATTTGCATATATTTTTAATATCCCAAGTGTCACCATAGACCAGCTAATTTCTAGAAATAATGTTCTAACATTGCCTGGATGTAGCTGTTTTTACAGCCTAAATAAATTAACAAATTCGTTATGAAACAACGAAAATTAAAACAATTTACCTTTTAAATCAGTTTACACCATTTGTGCATCTGAAGTCTCTGTAACTATGTTCTATAAGTGTAGTTTGTAACACAGTGTCCTCTGAACATGAAAGTGATTATTGATTTATTATTGGTTATTATTAAACTCCACTTAACACACTATAACACTGTTTGTTAGATATATAGATTGTATTTATTAGTTGGGCTCCATGTTTTTCTTTTTTTTTCACACTGTCTCAAAGTTCTAATTTTCTCAGTTTTTATGTTGTCTTTTGTGTGTAGTGTCTTTTCTTTTCTGTTATTCATGTTTTTACTTTTTTGTTTGTTTCAAAAACACCCTCCTTTCTTTTTTATGCGTTTACTGACAGTGGCTTATATGATTAACAAGGTTAAAAGGAACAGGGTTGAATTTTTTTGCATCAAATCACCAAATGCACAAAATATGGTTAACTGTCATCCGTGCTAATGTTATTAGTACATTAAGGACACTCTAATCATTTTCTTGCATGTTTTCAAGTATTTTATTTACTGTTAGTGTATAATTTGGATAACAGGCTTGTACTGTTAAAGTGACCTCATCAGTCAGCATCGCGATATCATGTAAATTAAAGAAATGTGAGAATGAGAGAACAAACTTTTCTTCTTCCCATGATCTTTGGGAAATTTGGATGAACAACTACATGTTGAACATGTGACTTTCAAGGTAAACTGCAGTTATAGTGGACTGGGACATGCAAAAATACTGTTTTCTAAGAGTTTTATGTATATAGTTAATTTAAGTTATTTACCTGAAACATGCACAAAGGTTTTAAAAATGCAAATGAATTTTAATTTGCTTTACATACATATTTTATAAATGTAATATCAGTGGAACACAAATGACGCACAGTTGTGTAATCAATCATTTTGTAAAGCACATTTTGTGTCTGATGATAATAATAATAACACACAGGGCCTCCAGTAGGAAAGCGGTGAGTGACAGACACGGCGTTTTTTTCTATTGGTTACTAGGGCTTTTGAAAATTCCATTAACCCCGCCCCTAGCAACGGCATCCTAGCCTGGCACTGATTGGTTCACTGGTTGCAGCTCTCGTCCAATCAGCGGATGTGTGCGGTTTTTGGATGCACGCTGGTGAGTGTGTACTGCGTTACAGCGAGGAGGCTTCTAACAACGTTTTTGTGGATATAAATACTTAGTTTGGGATCTGTGTTCATGTTCACGGACTGTTAGAGCTCTTTAAGTACAGAAGTCATATATCGAGTGTGTTTTCATTGGTCGGCGGTAAGTCTTCGACTCTTTGTGTTGTCTTAGCTTTTCCGTTTACAACAACGACACGGCTGAACTTTCTTCCTTCCTCTGTAGTGGAGCTAACTTAGCTAACTTAGCTCGCCGCTGTTAGCCAGGCCAGCGTTACTGACTGAGTTTGGGTGGATGTAAGTCTTAATTCACGAGGCTGAAGTTGGCTTCTTATTCGCCAGCTTCTTGTTTGAATTCTCCCGTTCCACCTTAAATGGTGCGGCAGTTACTTCTGGCGCCTGCAGCAGAACGTAGCTGCTGCACCATTTAAGGTGGAACGAGAGAGTTCGAATAAGAAGCTGGCGAACAAGACGCTGTTCTTTGTTTTGTGTGTAAATATGTGCCGTTTAATGCAGCCTGTGTTTAGCTCTGCGCTGGATATAAGTTAACCGGGTGCTGATTTGTAGCGAATGGTTTGAGTTCGTTAGCTACCAACGTTTGTTTTGAGTCGCTTGTTATGAGTGGCCCTAGTTGAGGAAGCATGGCCAGGTTGGTTGTTTAACTCAGGCAGGCTATCAGCTGGTGAGACATTCCTGCTGTAGGAAAACTGACTTTCTTAAGATCAGCTTTTCTTTGTTTCAGAGGAAATAACGTTAAAGCATGTCTCAGTATTGTATTACAGAATGACCTTTTTTTTTTATTTAATGATTTTTATTCTCACAGGTCCCCCTTAAGAGAAAGGAAAAGCTTAACATAAGCAATAACTGTAATAAGTTCCGGAGACGAATCAGAAAAGCACCATGTCTCTTACTCATGGTCACTGAAATGTTTCTGAGGCGTGCAATAAAGGTCTTGCGTTTTACTAACGTAGTTAAATGTTATGCAACTAGGATTGGGTTGAGATGAGTCACACAGAATAGTTATACTATATGTGAGTCAAAGTTGATAAAATATTCAAATATATTTCTAATATATTTTTCTCTGGCTTTTTGTCTGCTGCCAAGATGTTGCCTGCATGTCCATGGCTGCAGATGTCTTAACTTTTAAGTTAAAATATGCTAATCTTTCTCCAAAAATCCAGAGAACTGGCATAATAAATCAAGTTGATTGTTAACTAAGGTCTGTCATTTCATTATCAGGAGGAAGACGTAAAGAAAGAAAATGCCATTTTCGAGAGGAAAGAAACCAACGGTCAGCAAGATCCCAAAGCTGCATGTTAAGAGCTCAGAGAATCAGGTAAGCAAGCATTCTTTATTACAGTAGAAACATCATTTTCTCCAGCGATGATAAAACACATTTAAACACCCTAAAACCTGCCTGTGTTCCAGGAGGATGGCTCTCAGGTCAAGCGATCTACATCTCCTCCTCAAGGGGCTCCTAGGAAGAGGACTGCGTTTATCGACATCACCAATGTAAGTCTGATAGTCTAATGTAAACCCTTTGCCAGTGTGCACTGTATGCATGCCTCACTTGTCTTCATCTGCTTGACTAGGCTGTGTCTCAGTGTTTTTTGACTCTTCAGTTTGATGCTGATGAGGACAGTGTAAGGAGCGTAAGTGCCGATTGTGTGCCAGTTCACTATAATACTTGTTTGTTTAACCCCTTAACAAGCCATGGGCTGACCGACGGGCCCAAAGTTTTATTACCTAGGAATCCATTAGTTTTCATTGAAGTCCCTGTAGTTACTGAATAATATGCCTTTGTATAAAGTAAACCTGGATTGTTAAGGGGTTAAAACCAAGGGTGTCTTTGAGTTTTACAGACATTTGAACCTCTTCAATCATTTTTACAATAATGAACTATATAATTTGTACAAGGTTGCTCATATGGACTCTAACACAGCAGTTTCAGCTAGTACAAGGGGAAATATCACAATTTGTGGGTGGTTTGGTATCTGTTTTCCTTTTTCTCTTTTAATCACTGACACAAGTACCCATTGTACATAAGCACTGTCTTGAGGTGGATCCTGGTGAACCTGGGTTTCCTGCAGAGGTGCATTCATATGTTAATCATCATGATGGGCGCATTAACTGTGGTCTAACACCATTTGAACACTTGTTTGTTGTTGCCTGTTTTCTTTGTGTTGTGCTGCCTATAGATGAAGCAGTGTTTTAAGCAAGGGTCTTGGTTATAATCAACTTGCCTTTGGAAAAACTGTGTTAATGTGAACATTGTAACCCAAAGTTGTCTTTGCACTTAAGGCTCACAAGATTGAGATTAGCAATCCTATCAAGAAGAAAGGTCCAGTCAAGAAGGTACAGAAGACCACCTCAGTGGCTGCCAAGAATGAGGCCAACCTAAATAAGTAATTGTCTGACTTCCTCTTTAGTTTATTAAATTACATGGACACCTTTTTATTTTTTTTTCTATGTGTCCTGTGTAGCAGTGATTTACTTCATTTACTGTGTTCCTCCCAGAGAGTCTGGGGCCTAATCTTTGACTTTGTCTCCAGGTTGGCCTCGGTCACTTCTGAGGGTCAGTCTGAGGAGGCGCAGAAGGAAGCATCCCCGGCAGAGAAACCGGAGGAGCCCTTTCCCAAAGCCCCCCTTCCCCCACATTTGCTACCTCCACAGGTAAGGCCAGGGACAAGGTCTTTTCAAGGACCTTTTGTAATTGTCTGAGAAATTCAGAGGGATTACAAATTGTAGATTTACGAATATCTGAATCTTATTTACATTTTTTTTCCAGATACCCCCAGAGTTTGACATTGACTCTGATCCTTCAAATGACTGCACACAGACACCAGAATATGCCAAAGACATTTTTGACTACCTAAAGAACAGAGAAGTAAGTTATTGTATTGATCTTATTTTCTCATTTGAGAAAGTAACTGCTGACACTGGGGTCAGTAGTGTTAGTACTCTTACATGCAGGGCTACAGCTGTCGAATAATTATTTTTGTTATGTCAAATAACAAGCATTCATACACAAACATTTAATCGTAAATTAATCGTATGTGCAAATTTACGTGTAAGTAGTGATTTATAAAAAGTGAATTTGTGTAAGTGGGCATAGATGAACACAACTTGCCAACCTGATGTACGAGAAGTCCAAGTGCACTGCAGGCATTTGGGTATGTGATTTGTGAAGTTAATCCTATGAAAGTAGTGAACTCAACAACAAATTTAGAATAAAATTTATGTTTTTATGTTTTTTAAATGAACCCAAGGGTTTTTTTGTGGGGTGCAAAACAAACATCAGCTTATCTTGTATGTATTGTGTGTCTGAAAGCTAACCAATCATTGTCTTTTCCAGGAGAAGTTTGTATTGCATGACTACATGGACAGACAGCCAAATCTGAACCAGAGCATGAGGGCTATTCTAGTGGACTGGCTTGTAGAGGTGCAGGTTAGTGCTGGATGTTGTACTACTGTGATGTGTGGGTATAATGTTGATCTGTTCTCGAGTGGGGTGATGCTGTGCTGGGTATTAAACTGTTGAAAATCAGTCAGACCAACATACTGTAGTACATTTGAGAGAAGTGCAAACTGAAAGTTTGATCTGCCTTTAGTTATGGGTTTTCCATCCACTGTTTTCCTTCATAAAATCAAAAATGCTCACTAAAAACCTGTATGGAAAATCTCCAAAAGATTGATGAGATGGAGAAGTTGGTGTATTGATAAAAGAGAAAAGGAGAAACAGTCATGGAAGTCGTGAGCAAGCAGTGATTTAGCGTGAATGAAAATCATGTGTTTGGCTCTGTATCCTATGAGTACTGTTTGCTGCAGTGATATTCCTGGGGGTGGGCAACGGAGAAGTGGAAGAGTAACTTCAACCCTTATCAAAGGGACCGCTCTCTGGTCTACCTGGCATCTCTGAACTGTTGGGGCTACAGCTATGTACAATTGACAGAGGGCTGTGAAAACTGCTCTACCAAAAGCTAATAAAAGTTTATGTTCTTCCAATGTGTACACTGGGGACAGTTCTTTTAATGACTGAAATTTGCTTGAAATTTATGCAACATTTAAATGGAAATCCTGCTGATGTCTCTCTCTTTCTGTCTCTTTCTCTTTTTTCCTTTTTCTACAGGAGAATTTTGAGTTGAATCATGAGACACTTTACCTGGCAGTGAAGATGACAGATCATTACCTGGCTGTGGTTCAGGCCAGCAGAGAATCTTTACAGCTCATTGGCTCCACGGCCATGCTGCTTGCCTGCAAGTTTGAGGTGAGAGACGCACAAATGCACAATGTTTATTTATTGATTGATTAATGGATCTGGTATCAGCTATGCTAAGCCAGATCCTTTTCCTTAGTGTCCCTCCTTACTTTAGTCACCATCACAGAGATATCATAAACTGACATAATCCATAACTTTCAGCATTGAGGTACATTTCCAGAGATGAACATTGTGGTCTGAATATCCTCAGTGTGGAACTATGTTAAAAAGGAAAATGAAAACTTGTCCACATTGTCAGCGTTTTGTTGTATTCAAACTAGCCGGCTTTCATCTAAACACGGACAAGCATAAATGGCTTCTGGCTTAAATCCGGTAACATCCAGTTGAAAGCTGAGCAACAAAAGCTGGCTACTGAACATGTTGGAGCAATTTCAAGTTGTAGTCACAACGCTATAAAATAGTACATTTAAATTAAATAGTACAATAAAAGCAAAATAGAGTAATAAACATATGTTAGAAGATATGCTGTAATCTATTATGTTTACATGTGCCAAGTGATTTTACTGCAGCATTTTATTCATTTCTGTTTTTCATAAGTCAGTAAAAGAACCAAAATCGGTTTGGTTTACAGACGTGCTTAAAATGAAGTGATTTCACTTTAGCAATTTTTGGCAGCCTAGCCCATCTTGCCTGAGTTGTGTAGTTATATATCTATGAAGATGCAAATACTGGATACTACCAATCTGTTAAATTATTCAAGTATTCTGATTGTAGGAGTTCTTGAAACAGATTTAGTCTTTTTTTTTTATGTTTAAATATCATTATCATGTCATGTTTGCCAAAACCCATGCGTTGAATATTGGAAAATTGTGCCCATGTATCTGAAATTAACTTTTTTGCTCACCTGCAGAGTGGTCTGGTAGGTGATAAATCCTTCACCAACCTTTTAAAATGTAATTTGTTTGTTTGCTTTTAAACAGGCAGTCGTTCCAATGGCATGTATAAGGCTGTCACCATGGAATTTTAGCTGACCATTAATTGTTATACATAATTGTGATTTAATGATTTAAATGTAGCTTTTTTTTTATTCATTTTTTTGCAGCTATGAAAATGTGAGCCTAAAGTGGCTTAATTGACTGATTAGCCATCTTACTTGCTGGCTATGTTTACTGAGTGAGTAACACTGATTGTAATGTCAAATCAATACAACAGTGTCTATAGTTACACAGATTTATATGCCGAGTTAAGTAAAGCTGCATGTTCTTCACGAGTGAAAATAAAAAAAAAAGCATAAACACTGATTCTATCAGCTTACATGCTACAAATGTTAGAATTAGTTACATAACAAATGAATAAATAAACTAACATTACTCAGCACTTTTACAACAACCATCCAAACCGTCTTTCAATGCCTATATTGTTGAACCACTACCTTTTGCCAAAATCTTTTCTTCAACAGAAGTACTGACCTCTTTTACTGGTTGTAACCTTTCTTTCTGCCAATGGTGGTACCAATCGCTTCACGCCTTCAGAGCGTTGCATTGCAACCAGCTTCTATCATAATGTTTGGGTCAGTCGAAAATACAGTAGCAGAATCTTTTGACAGAGTAGGAGGGGAAAAGGTTAAATCTCAATGATTCCCTTGGAGACATTAAGGCTGTTCTTTTTGGTCACCAGAGTGGATGGTAGACTTCTGAAATGCACTTACCTAATGGAAAATCTACATGCATTTGGTGCTTGTTGGGTATTAAATTTGGATGTGGGCTTTTTTTTCTTTTTCTTTTTCAGGAACGGCTCCCCCCTTGTGTTGACGACTTCCTGTATATCTGCGATGATGCATACAAACGCTCACAGCTCATCACCATGGAAGCAAATATTCTGCAGGCGCTGAACTTTGACATCAACATTCCTGTTGCCTATCGCTTTCTACGGCGCTACGCCAAGGTGAGTAAACAGATCTAAAAATAAATGGGGAGCAGGCTCAGCCTTTTATAACACACAGCTAGAGTTGCGTATTTGTAGTATTAGCATGTAGCTCGTACTGTGTGTCAGCTGGATTGTGAGACAGTGACTGTTGAGTCTGTGTTTTGAAGATGGTTCAGTCTCTGAGTAAACAGCATAAACCTGTAAAGTAGCATTTGCTTTATTTCAGAAAATTTGCGGGCACGCCACTTTGTACAGAAGCAAGATTAAACTGTTCCAGCACTTTAGATGACCCATAAGAGACTCGATCTTACACTGTCTGGACAGTTTATATTAGGTACACCTACCTGCTACATGGGCTCACTGTCCATTTGATCAGGTCTGCTTAGCACTGAGAATGATCCAATACCCAAATACCATTGATAAACAAAGTAAAGGGAGCACTGACAAATAATGCAGAGAAACAGAGGGCTACAATTTTCAGTATCAGAACTACAAAGTGTGCCCACATGGTAAAGTTGACCTGATGAACACTGAGTAGATATAAGATGACTAGTGAGTGTGCATCCCAAACACTGTGTGGTTCTGATATGTTTTAACTAAAGACTGTATGATTCAAGAAAACCTGAAATACAGACTACGTTTTTTGCAATATTCTTTATGTTGAAATGGCAACAGGCTGTGATTGACTGCTCTTTTCAAGGTCAGTGCACTGCTGGATCAACAGTATAAAAATTTCTCTTTGTGCTTCTGCGGGTTTGCGTGCTGCACATCTCAACCTAGGCCAAAAAGAAATGTCTCCATTCAAGTAAATTGCCAAGGCAGGCTCAAAACCCACAATAATGTGAAAGCTTCTTAACACTGCATGGCTGCAGTTACAGCATTGGTCTCATTCTTCACTGGACATTTTTCAACTATTTTACTTGGAGTTCTCCAAATTTTAGTCAAAGCAGATTTCTAGCCCACTCTTCTGTGAGGTCAAGGGCTGACATGCTTTCTCCATGACACGTGTAGGCGATTGCTCACAGAAAGGCTGAACACACTGCTGCATTTTGCATTCATGACCTAACAGACACCCTTGATTAACTAGCAATGCTGCGTATTCACAGTGAGAGAGGAACGAAGTCATTCTTCCCACACAATAACAGCACAGCCAGCTGTACTCTCACAAACTCCCACCCACAGATGACTGTGGCATCACTGGGAGTCGAATTTGAGTCTTGGTGACAGAGCCCAGTTATGTAGTTGATGTAGGCGTATGTTAAAACCTATACACAGTCACATCCTCCTAATGAAATGAGATTCAACAGCTTCCTCATTGACAATATGCAAGTGAATGGGTAATGCATTCAGTAAATGAATAAAACTGTTTTTCTGACTGAATACAGCCGTTTCCCAGTTTTGACATGTGTTACTCATCTATGAGTGGAAATATGAAAAGCAAATGTCTTCATATGAAGCAGTTTTTTTTTCATATGGATGACTTCCCATTCAAAAAAGTAAGGCTCCGTTCTCGCTGCTCAAAACAGCTGTTTGAAAAAGTGATGCAAACTAAGGTGAGAGAGAGAGCAGAGTTGGAGTAGAGCAGTGCTTGTAAAGATCTTGGTGTCCGGATAAGGAGGGATGATGGATGAGAAGAGTTGTTGACAGACTTGCACTTACCCTTAACTGACTCGTTACTCAACTCAGACTTGACTTAAGACTTGTGAAAGTTCAGCCAGAGGAAAAACACGAACAAAGCAGATTAAATTAGGACCATCAACGTTAAAGGAGCAGAGTGTTAGATTTAGGGGGATCTTTTGGCAGAAATGGAATATAGTCAACAAAACTCTTTTCATTAGTGTATAATCACCTGTACCTACGAATCATTGTGTTTTCGTTAGCTTAGAATGAGCCCTTCATATCAAAGGAGTATCTACATTGGAGCGGATCCTCTTCAGACATGTTGCACTGCCATGTTTCTGCAGTAGCCCATAACAAACAAACCAAACACTGGTTGTAGAGAGTGCCTTTCATGTTTTTTAATTGAAGCTGCTACTGGTGCTGACTAATCATTTTGTGTTGTGATAAGTTTGAGAACCCAAATTATTCACAAATATAGGATCATACTTATTATTTAGCACAAAAAAAACAATGGTGGGTCAATCCTCATCGTCAAAGAAGCAAAAACATGAAGAAGCAAAATAAAATCAGGATGGGCGATGGCAGAAAACATGACGTCCACGGTAGGTTCTACGACATGCTTGGAAAGGGAGGGGTGAGGGCACGGTATTCAGTTGGTTGCAGCCTGAAACTTCGCTGCTAGATGGGGCTAAATGTTACACACTGCTCCTTTAAGGCAGCGCTATGTAACATATTTTGTTAAAACTGAAAGAAGTAGCATTACTGAGTATGGAGAATAAGAACACACTAAAATATGGTGTGTGTGTGCACCGCTGCACGTCCTCCTGTAAAGCATACAGTTACATATTTCTCTAAATCCCTAACTCCTGCATAGTGGTACTTTGTGAATGCACAAAACCTTTCATTCCCAACCTTACTTGTGTGACTTTGTGCATGACCGTAGCAAAACTGACAAGCAGTCATTACTGCAGTAGCATTTGCTAGCAGCGGCAACAAATGGCAGATTCAGTATGGGCTGAAATAATGGCTTTCACTGTAGACAGTTTTTCATTTTGATGGACAGAATGAAGTGCTACATGCAAAAAATTAGGTATTTAAAACCAAGAGGAAAAAATACTTGGAAGGGGTTTGGCTAGCAAGTATGTTGGCTGACGCAATAGCTAATTTAGCTGAATTGTCAGCTAATCTAGCCAAAGTTTACAGAAAAAAAACTTACAGATCACATTGCTTTAAAACTAATGCCGACCTTACACCAAACGACTTTTCAAATTTCCAGTATCGGAATAAAATCATGAGAGTCTTGCTAGAGTTCACATCACCTCTATCATGTAGTGTACGTGTTTGTTAGTCTTTTTCTCGTCTTGACGCTGAGAGCGAGCGCATGCGTGAGTGCCTGAAGTAATGTAAGGAAATGCTCAAAGGACTTTTAAAAATGATGCTTTCTGTTACATTTGTTTATTTTGTTTGTTTCTTTTTTTTATGGTTTAGTTCATAATATCCAGTCAACAGTGCTGAATCGCTGCATGTTTTGTTGTGTGAAATCTTTGTTAAGTAAAAAAAGTAACTGCACATTTTACAGGTTCATTTAAAAATTCTGGGTGATGATCTGTCAGAATATACAATATCCCAGATCTTTACACCAAGGTATAAGCTAAGGTATCTTCCCATTTGTACTACTACAGAGTGGAGAAGGAAAGGGTTTCTCTTCTTGTCAAGTTTCACCGGGTGCATGATGGGAAATAATCTCAAAAATCTAGTTGCGGTCTTGTAAATAGTGACGCTGCAAGATTCCCAGTCTTTGCAAAATCAGTCTGTGACTAAAAACCCTGAGACATTGTCTCTAGATGTGAGAGTGTGTCAGACTTTAGTCTTTCAAAAGTCTATTCAAAGTCTTCTACTGTATGTTTAGCATAACTGAAACTTGAGCTGCACAAGATATTATGCTAGATATTATTAGCTAGCATAGTTGCTGTACAAACAACAGTGGCTAATTAAAACAATAGCCAACAGTAGCTACTCATAATAGCAAACATAGTAGTTAACAATAGGTAACAGTCACAGTATGAACAGCAGTAGCTAATTATAGAAGTAGCTAATTTTAATAGCAAAAAACAACAGCTGAGTTAACTAATGTCAACTAGTCTAGTCAGTGTTTTTTTAAGTTACTGATGATGCAAAACTTGAGCTGGATTAGCTATTATGCTTTCTAGCTTGCATAGTCTCTTTACAAACAAACCTCTTCAGTCCTTTTCTAGACTGAAAGTCTTTTACTAAGGATTTTTATTTATATAATGCTGTGCCCGCAGCTAATAACAAGACTAAACTACAATTCTTTTCTGAAGACTTTGACTTGTGTTCACACCCCAGATGTGAGAAACTTAACTGGAACTCGCATGAAGCGACTCCTGAACGTCTCTGGTGTTTGTCCTCTGTCCTCAGAAGGAAGTCTTCTGTCTTCCTCTGGGACTGTAAGCTGGCTTTGCAGTAGCTGTTGGAAATTACCATGTTACTGAATGGTGTACGTGCTTCTCCTGTGTGTAGTGTGTTAATGCCGGCATGGACACGTTGACTCTGGCCCGGTTCATCTGTGAGCTCAGTCTGCTGGAGATGCAGTTCGTCCCAGTCCGAGCGTCTCTGCTGGCCTCTGCTTGCCTGCTCATAGCTCTGGTTACCAAGGACCTGGGGGGATGGGTGAGTTTGTTTGTGCTCTTTCAGCACCTTTCAGACTATCACATCTCAGTTCTCTTACTCAAAGCATGCACCTTAATGCTATACAAACTGTTTATGCTGCTGTTGTATTCCCACAGAATGGTGGTGTTTGGTGTTAATCAGCAGTCTCTGCTGGGAGGCACTGTGTACTGATGTAGAACTGAATTAGTCTGACCCTAATGAAAAGTTGTTTATATTAACTATCATGAAGCTGTAATGTATGGTAATTTCAGATTCCTCTAGCACTGAGACACACATGCAGGGCACCCAGTCAATGACTGTTTAGCTGCTTCTTCTTTTCTTACGGCAGCAGCTGTGACAGTTTAGTGAATGAAAGTGGTGGACTGCTAAATGTTGTGTGTGTGTGTGTGTGTGTGTGTGTGTGTGTGTGTGTGTGTGGTTTGTATTTTTCTTTAGTAAATTGCTTGTGTGCTGTGAGCTTTCAGATTTGAAGTAGAGGTGAAAGGACCAGATCAGCACCAAAAGATAATTAGCTCATACATACACGAGCGCTCACAGACTAACCTCTCTCTTTTTTCCTTGTTGGATTTGGAATCAGCCAGCTTGTGATTGGCAATCGGCCAGTTTATTCAGATTAATTCTGCCAATCTGTGTTGTGATTTTATAATGTACATAATGTGTACATAAAGCCAGGACCACATTGATTGATTGATTGATTGATTGATTGATTGTTGTTGTTGTTGTTGTTGCTACTTTGGCTGCTAAAATAACTTGAAATTACAGGTGGCATTTTAACAATATATAATTTATAGTTTAGTGTGTAATTCATATAATGCACCACTCTTCCATATAGAAGTCCTGAGTTTTTTATTCCTCTTTAGTCATCACCACCACCTCCTAGCACAGCCTGTACTGACATTTTCTATTGTGTTTTTGAGTGTCTTGTTTATTTATATATTGTGAGAGTTTCATTAAATGGCAGTATTTCATGTAGAAAGCAGCTTTTGTGCCCACGAGCATAATGCTTATTTCAAATGCACGTGCCCTTCAGAGTGTTCAGAGGAGCATACATATTCATATATAATTTTCATATCAGTGTGTTCATTTAGCCTGCAAAAAAGTCAATTAAAAATGTAAAAATAAAGGTAAAAGGCCATCGAAATTGGCCCAAAAAGGCATGATTGCTGCATCCTTAGTATTTGTGAACAAAGCTTATGTTATGTGTAGTAGCAAAATGGCAAAGACTGTTTGATGGCAACAAAAATTGTTTGGTAATATCACAAAACTTGCTCTCCCATTCAGAACCCATGCCTGCAGTTCCATTCGGGCTACAGTGCAGAAGATCTGGCGCCCGTGGCCCGAAAACTCCAGCACATGCTGAGCAGCCCCCCCGACAGCAAGCTCGCCACCGTCCGGAGCAAGTACTCCCACAAGTAAGCCTGCTCAGTGATGTCAGTGTTTTCATCAGCTAGGCCTTAATGTCTCAAAGGAGCTTTTTCATACCGATTGGGCCCATAAACTGTTTCTAAAACAGAACGTAATTGTGTTTTAGTAACACTTAACATTTAAACATCATTTAGTAGGATGTAAACATCAGCTAGTTGATACGGACTGTGAACTGAACTGTATAACACTTTTTTAACTACTTAACTACTTGGCAGTTGAGGTGTCAGCTAGTTAATTAGTTGTGCACTGAGGTCAAAGAGTTAAAATGAAATTAAGAAGAATGAAATTGTGTTCTCAGTTTTTCATATGTTTCAGCTACAGATGCACACAGGCATTCAGGTACTTGAGTGCTTGGTTGATCATTCGAGGTGCCACTGTTTAAATACTGCAAGTATTTGTGTGTTCGCTTTGTAGACAATTGGTTAGTGTTTGCTCATGAGCTTATTTATACTTATAAAATAGGTGAGTTTTAAGATGTGCCCAGTTCTTTACCAGACCATTTCACAGAAACAATTGCAGAACTGTAAGTGAATATTTTGTTAGTTTCCTATTAGTCTTTCTAAAATCTGTCTTGCTGTCTCATTCTTTGGCATTGTGTAAGGCTGTGGAGGCAGTTCTTATGCCGTCAGGGCGTGAAGCTGTTAAAATAGTATGTGTTAACAAGTAAACACTTTTTCAGACTATATAAATACCATCTACATGACCTGAGTAGTTGACACTAAACTGTTTGAATAGCTTGTGTGTAAGTAATTAAATGGAATACCTGCAGTCCAGGTTATGCTTATAAACCCATTATAAACTTGTCAGTGGGTTTTGTTTGTCCTTTACAGCTTGCACTACTTCTTTTGTCATCTTTTCGTAAACACACACTGTGTGAGAGAGAATGTGTCCTCTCACCTCTCAGTTATCTCATTAGAAACAAAAGGGATGGAGGGGAACATTTCCGATTTCTGCAAAAGTTACTTTTCTGTTCTTGACTTGTCAGCAGTGAGGCCAGTTGTAGTCCATTGTGTGTGTGTGTGTGTATATTGTCATTAATGTAACATTTAGTAGACTAGTAGACGATTATTAATCGTCATTATCCGTAACTACCCCACCATCCAGAATATGAGAGATGCAATTACTGCACACTTTTTCCTTTATATGTGGATGTGCATTAGGCTGCTCAGCATCAATAATCTGTTCCATCATTGTGGTAGACTACTGTCTGTCATAGTCCTTACAGCAGAATGTAGCTGAAAGCTATGCTGATTATAGCTCTCTTTTAGCATGGTGATTTCCAACACTATGTGCTGAAATAAGGTGGAAATGTGACAATGCAAATCTGATGCAACACATTGTCATGTTTGAGCCCATTTTATTCAAAGCGTGTCTAAATTCTATCCATCTACGCAAAGCAATTTCAGCAAAATACTGCTGTAAATTGGTATAAAATGCAGAGCTGTTAATAAAAAACCTGCACTAAAGATTGCAAAACCTTTCTTAAAATACAACAAAGTTGTTAGAGGGCCACAACTGAAAAGATGAGTGTTTTCCCTCGTTTTACACTGTGAATCTCACAAAAGTCTTGCTAATTAGCTGATGAGTTGAATTAGGTCTGTTTAATATGGATGCACAGTGATATCAGAATCATCGGTATTGGCACATAATTGCATAGAAAATTAACAGCATTGGGGCAGATTTGACTAAGATTTGACTGATAATTCAGACTGATAATTGAAACAGATATTTGATGATGTGTTTGTGTTATGAAAGAGGTGACACTGGGCTGCTGTTTGCCGTTTATTCATAGTCTTTGTAGCCTAACACAAACAAATGTGACTAATCCAGGTAGATGTAGCTCCAATTTCTACATTTAATAAATGTTTATGTATTAGCCTCAGCACATAAGTGAACAGAAAAATGTTGAGTGTAAGCAACAAAATGTCCTGTATTGGTGCATCCCTTGTGTTTTATAAGGTACAACACTAAACTCTGCAGAGCTGTGGCCCATATTTACACTTTAAACCTGGTCTGTTACCAGCATACCATTAATGTTGAGGATTTGTGTCATTCACACTTGCAGCCCTTAAATGGTATTTTACCATTGAGGCATACATTCACTTTGGCTATGCAGGCCCTGTTAAACAGGATGAGATGTCTTCAGTATGAATGCCTAACAGGTTCTTTGATCCTGAATCATGTACAAAATGTTTCTGCCAAGTTTTTCACATGCAAAAACTGAAAATGCGACTATAAAATCAGAAGCTTCACAGAAATGCTACACTTGGCCGGCCATGCTGCTTCACTTCTGTGCTGTATCAGCCATGCATACTTGAGGGGCAGATTTTTGCTGTTTATCTCAAATGCCTCCACAATCATACACATAATACAGCACCATCATGTTTTTCACTTACGAAAGCTGAAAACTCAACTGTGGCAACAAAAGCATCACAGAAACAAGGCATTTCACCAGCCATAATCAAGAAGTCATTGTCTTTCCTAGTAATATGTCGGCTTCTGTTCATGCATGAGCCCTCACAGTAATTTTGTGGTATTTGTACAAGGTCTCATGCAGGTAAAGCACTTTCCTGTTTAATTATCATCAAACTTCTGTGTAAAGGTGCATGTGTGAAAATGGCTGAATTTGTTAGAAGTAGGATCCATCAGTTAGATTTTTGCATCATAGGTCAGTGTTAAATGCTATAAAATGGTAATTTAAAAAAATAGGCCAAGAAAAATCACTATCACGGTCACAATATGCATACATTAAAAATAAAGTGAAGTATTAAAGTAATGGGCAGAGTTAAAGTGATTGACCTTGTGCCTGTGATCTTTTGAAAATACAAATATCAGTTCAGATTAAAGTATCAACCAATACACAATAAAAGACTTGTTTATATATATATATATATATATATATATATATATATATATATATATATATATATATATATATATATATATATATATATATAAAAAGAGGGGATCGGGCCTGCCTAGGCATCATGTGTCTTTGACATGATTAAAACAGAGCATAGCAGAGCATAAAGACATAGCTAGTAAGTAACTAGAAACTTGCTGGAAAAGGAGACTAAACAATAAAATGACTTGCCATAAGTACAGCTGTAAATGTATAAATGTTCTGGGTGTTTCTACAAGCAGGCCAACCAGTTTATCACTAAAATTAGGGCTTGATGTTTATGCTTCTTATGTTCTTTAGGTTTTGTGTCCACAAGCACATTTATTTGTCTATTCAGACAAAGTTTAAAGTTTTAATGATCATTCTTTGCAGTATGTTCGATAATGACTTTGGAATTTGTATGTTAACCTCTTAAATCTTAAAACCTCTCAAACTGAGTTGACAAGGCTGTGACCATGATTTGATGTTCCTCAGTGACGTTTCCTCACTGAGTTTCATTCATAATTAACTTTTCTCTGCCCCTTGCAGATGTCTGGAATTTTTCAGCTCTTTGCAAGTGAAGCAGTTCATTCATATTTCAGTGCCCCAGATGACAGTTGACATGTCATTTTGGATCTTTTTCGCTTGTTTTTAAATATCCAATTTGTTTTTCTGGCAGGGTTTTCTTTGAAGTCGCTCTGATGCCTCCTGTGAGCATGGAGAAGCTGGAGATGTTTCTGAAGTGAGCAGAAGAGGAAATAATCTTTAATCTATAAACCATGTAAATATTTGTATTTAATATTGTATATCACTCCTGTTTTAAAATAAAAGTCTGTTCTGTTGTGTATGTGAAACGAGCATGTTTTAAGATTTTGTGTGAAGTATTGTAAATGGACTTTTTAGAGAGGTTTTGAACCAAAAAAGAAACGTGTGACCTCAGTGTGACTAAAATACGTGTTACAGAAGCTTCTCCGAGGTTGTTGAAGAAGACTTTGAATAATGTTCTTAAATTTGATATTAAACCATGTTATTAAACCATGTATACATATGTCTGTAAATATTAGTTATATATTTTTTCCTCCTCAGTATTGTACCATCCATGTTGTGCATTGGATGTATTTTTGCAAAGCTGTGTAAATGCTATTTTTAATTGGTGGCATTTGATTAAAATATTAATGTTTCTTAAGTTTATGGTGGTTGGTCTAATTTAAAATTTTCTCAAAAAGGTTGAATTTGAAGAGAGCTTTGTAGGTACACAACTGTTCCTAGATTGCAGTTCCATGAACTAACCATAAGAGGGCAACCTGTTTGCAAATGAAGTTCTTGGCCCATGACCCTCACTGTTACATCCTTGCTCATACTTGAGGTCTCACAAAGATCTATTCGACCTGTTTCTTGCAGTGATCACTTCAACATTTTCATGAAATGGTTTCAGATATTTAATCTGTTCTTTCTCGGTGTACAGACAGTCTAGATTCTTGTGACAAATTCATCAGAATCCAGCAAATAGCTGTCATATGCATATACTCAAAGGAAAATACTGATGGTGTAACCTTAGACCTCAGTTTGACTGAGCTTTATCCTGTGTTCAACAACACTGGGCACATTTTTATTCTGTTCTGCTGCTTGTATCTGGGTAATCAGCATTCTGCAGCTTGATTATGTGGCTCAAGAGTGCTGGGAGCAATTCCAGCCTGATCCAATCCATTACAGCCAACAAACAGACAACATCTTTACTCTCAAGGCTGTGGCTACAGTTTGCCCCTTTTGTCTGTGTGCTCTGCTCTGGTCAGTTTGATGATTCTTAACATTACCTAAGCTCGGGATTAGGGCTAAGAATGCTGGATGTAGATCAGTAAGATCAGAAAGAGTTGATTTTCTAACTTCCATCAGAGCTCACAGCCTGTTTTAATCCCCACAATTCCACACTAGTGTGTGTTGAGTGTTCAGGTGGCTGTTTGGTGCAACCAGTGCTGTTTTAGTTAGCAGGCCTACATGTGAAGCAAATTTCTATTTTTTTCTCGATTTTCTACATCATTTGAACCTGGCCACTGTTCTCCATGTTTGACGAATGGACCAATATAAATGTTGAAAAATCAGTTGGAATAAAATCTCTTTGCTTAAACTTATTGAAAGAGAAGACTGTTTTTCTCTGCTGAAAAGCTACTATTTTAGAGATACTTGCGTTTCTTTGAATAGTGAGTAGTTGAAATAATTCAACAACACAAAATAAATAAATAAACGTTCTCATGGGTGTAACAGAATTTAGAAGCAAAACAGAAAGACAACTTTTGCTGGTTAGAGTATTCAGTCAAAAACTATGCAACCTTCAACAAACTGTCCTGGGACTGGAAAGCAAAGAGGCTGAGCTGTGCACTAGTACAACCAGTAGCCTGGAAATGTCCCCTGGGTATCAGACCGCTGAGTTGTTGTATCCAGCTTTCATCTCCAATTATGAGACATACTAAGCAGTGGCTAACCTGGCTAGGAATGAAGGAAAACCTGGGGACATGTTAGCATGATGAAATTTGCATAATGCTGACAGGACCCCACTAGCGTCCTCTAATTGTTTGCAGTGTTAGCATTTTTGAAGTACCCCTTTAATGTGAATTCATGTTTGAGTGTGTGTGTGTGTGTCTGTGTGTGTGTATGAGGGTCAGAAGAGGCCTGTCTCTCAAAGCAAGAATTCTTACTTAACTCTAAGTTTGATCTTGTTTGATTGTAAACAGCTGTTGTCCCAATCAGGGCAAACTTCTGACCAACCACTGGCAACTTTCTGATGGAGATGGACCCCTCCAGTCCTTTTCGTGTCACTTTTTATCTTCTTTGTGATGTTTATGGTTGGTATTTGTTTGATTTCTTGTAGCTGCAGCTTAATCAGGAGCCTTGTCTTGGCTGAATGTACTTCATGAGACTGGTCCCTGCTTCACAAAAGATTTCCACCATAATACACTGAGAAAAAGAAGTTTGCCCATTCTGGCTCCACAACCTTACATCTTAGCCTGTTTCAAGTCTTGCAAAATGTATAATTGTGATTATTATTTTAACAGCATGTGTCCTCCAGCTGTTTGGCCTCTTGCATTAAAATTGATTGTTTTCCTACGCTTTACCAATTTCCACCACGTAAACATTTTCTCATGCTTATCTCGGCTAAAACAGGCACGGTGTACAAATTATTTTCCTATTATTTACTCGAGCATTCCTTTGAGGGACAAATCATAACCATAATCATCCTCCTTATAATTAACGTGTATTGTATCACAGTTTTTAGCAGAAAGCCAAAGATGAAGCCACTGTGAGAAATGACATACAGAGAGAACACTTTTATATGACAAATTGCTTGATGAGGCAAGCTAACCATTATCTAGCAGAGACTGAAAAGGCATCATCATCATCGAGCAGTAAAATTCCAGACCTGGTGGATAACACATTCTCTTGAGGAGAGGATGAATCTAGCAGGAGCTGAGGGCATTTAAAGACTAGTAATTTGGGACAGTGTGACAGGTTGGCTTGTTTTGGCATGTTTTGCACCAATGGATCTGTGCTGTATAGCTGAGACTGAATAAGTGTTTGTTGCGTAACAGAGCGTATGCCACACATCTGTTTGAATGACCTTGGTGTGCTTTGTAGTGGAAGCAACAATAATCCTTTTACACACCACCGCAATGGTGTGGAATGCACTATATGCATGTTACATCCACTCCATCTAGCAAATCTCTCTCTCTCTCTCTCTCTTTCTCTCTCTCTCTCTCTGCATATTCGCATAGTAGATCGTCTATGGGTTGACCTTGAGGATGGGGCGGGGAATTGTTTTCTTAAGCTTGACTGCTTTTTCCCTCCTTCAGGCGTTAGGATAAAGAGAAGAGTCGGCGTGTATACGTATATGTACGTGTGATGTTTGTGTGATGGGGAGAGAGATAGATTGAGTTGGAGATTAAGCGCTTCACTGGTCTATGTGTGCCAGGGTTAGTGAGGGTGTGCAGTTTTTAAATATGGAACATTAGGTGACACACTTCGTTTAAGGCAAAGTCATAGGCACTTACAGTAACAGCTGAGGTGTTTCACCGATAGCTAAATAACCCCTTAAACCCCATGTCTGAAAGTGGGTGCACACTTTGATTCACTCCGATAACATACATATTAGTCTGATAGTAGTTACAGAATAATAAATAGTGACTGAGTACACACACACACACACACACACACACACACATTACCTAAGCTGCTTATCCTCTTGGGACGCGGGGGGTGCTGGAGCCTATCCCAGCGCTCCTTGGGCAGAAGGCAGGAAACACCCTGGACAGGTCACCAGTCCATCACAGGGCAGAAGTGACTGAGTAATAAGTCTTAATATTAAATGAATAGTTTGGAGGGGAATCAAATTTACACAATTATCCATTTATCCTAGATGTAGTCGACTGGCCGAGGTATGTTTGCACTTTAATTTTGTTAGTTTAGCACTGGAGCTACAAAGCAAGGACTAGAAGTCAATAGTCACCCAAATCCTTTCTGTAAATACATCCCCAAAACTTCTCTCAACCTGCACAAACCTTATCCAGGTCTTCATTAACTTCTCGTAGACTTGTTGATGTGGTTTAAGGTACAGTATAGCTTACTGTGAGCTATAATTCACTGTGTAACTAAACTCTGCAGGCAGCCTCTTTAGATCGGGGCCATGGTGTCCTTGCGAGTCAAAAGGGGGCACTAAGCGGGCTAGAAAAAAAATCTCTCATTAGTAATTATTTTTAACTTGGTCAATTTCTTAAATTTCTTCTGCTTTCAGCCACATATAAAAATAATACTTGGTCAAAAAATGGTTTATGTTATTAGACATTAAAATTTCATTCATGTGCTAGCCAATCTTAATTCACAGCCATCCACAGAACACCACAGTGCCAGGTCAGCAATAGCTGTAGAGAAAGCTGGCAAAAAAGAAACAGTTCTGGTCAGACATGTGTTGTGTCCAAAATGGCCACTGAATCACTACAGCCTACATTTGAAAATCTAGATCACTACAGAGAACACTTTCATAGGCAACTGAATTTTTGATGGTACTAAATGATTTCTGACAGTAACATTACGTCATACGGGTTTGTTCATTATTGTGCATAAACACTGTAAACGTCTTGCCACCAGCCCACTAAAACCGCCTGGTTTGACTGCTCATATCAGAAGAGCTGACTTACATTTGTAACTGGTCAGAAGGGCTCACTAATCCTACTCAGAGAGACCGCATGTGAATCTTCAAACAACACAGTGCAGTATGGGTATCCCCCATCTGCTAGGGTACATCGGTTGTACATGACTTATCGTGGTGCATTGTGGGATAGTTTGAGTGCACTGGATCTTCTGCTCTATGTTTTCAGACACCACTACAAAATGGTGGAAACCCAAAATAGTGGACTGGTGAATAGGGTGCAGTTTCAGACACAGCTATGGTCCTCATTTGTTAAGCAAAATTACTGACCAGTGGGGCAGAAATTATGACTTCCCTTTGTGTGCATGCACTGGACAATATTCATACAGGCGTTTAGACACTACAGATTACATTTGTGATTTCTGATGTTTCTTTTTATAAATAACTGTTGGTATGAGTTTTCAGGCTTTAGATATATGTTTAAAACTATAAACAGTATAAACTGCAAACTGATAGCCATGATATCCATGAGCCTGCATGATATATACTTGAATGAGCTGGGGAGTCAGATTCTGAAGAAGATGTGTAATTTGGCACAACACCCGTAATCTAAAGTGGCTGCCAGCGGTGCTTCTCTACACAGTGAAGTTTTGTTTATTTTTATAGTACATAGTAAGTCGTACTATGTCCTAAACCTCATCAACCACATCATGTGACGTTAATGAAGAATTTGATGTAGTTTGAGCAGGTCGAGAGAAGTTTTGGGGATGTATTTACGAAAAAGATGTCCGTCGCAACGTCAGCCTCGTAACTCCAGCACTTAACAAAAGAAGTAAAATTTGGATGCCAAGCAAATCTTGGCTAATTAACTATTTCTGGGATGATAATTTTTTTTATTTAGTTTTTTTCAAGACCAAGGGGAAAAGTCAAGGAACATTCATATTGAATTAATACATACCTGTCAGGAACACCTGTATTATAATATTATTAATTATCTATATTTAAATAGCACTTTTCATGCTGGTGGCAGCTCAAAGTGCTTTACAGACAGGTGATAAAGCTTAATAGTAATACTAGAAATTATTAGTACAAATTAAAATCATATAAAAATGACAGATCAAATTAAAAAGATAAATACAAAGAGACAGAGTTTTATTTAATTGAAGTTAA